CTCACTGGTACTGTGTAGGGGCTCAGGGCTCACTGGTACTGTGTGGGTAAGGGGCTCAGAGCTCACTGGTACTGTGTAGGGGCTCAGGGCTCACTGGTACTGTGTAGGGGCTCAGGGCTCACTGGTACTGTGTAGGGGCTCAGGGCTCACTGGTACTCTGTAGGGGCTCAGAGCTCACTGGTGCTGTGTAGGGGCTCACTGGTACTGTGTAGGGGCTCAGGGCTCACTGGTACTGTGTGGGTAAGGGGCTCAGAGCTCACTGGTACTGTGTAGGGGCTCAGGGCTCACTGGTACTGTGTAGGGGCTCAGAGATCACTGGTACTGTGTTGGGGCTCAGAGCTCACTGGTACTGTGTATGGGGCTCAGGGCTCACTGGTAATGTGTAGGGGCTCAGAGCTCACTGGTACTGTGTAGGGGCTCAGAGCTCACTGGTACTGTGTAGGGGCTCAGAGCTCACTGGTACTGTGTAGGGGCTCAGGGCTCACTGGTACTGTGTAGGGGCTCAGGGCTCACTGGTACTGTGTAGGGGCTCAGAGCTCACTGGTACTGTGTAGGGGCTCAGGGCTCACTGGTACTGTGTAGGGGCTCAGGGCTCACTGGTACTGTGTAGGGGCTCACTGGTACTGTGTAGGGGCTCACTGGTACTGTGTAGGGGCTCACTGGTACTGTGTAGGGGCTCACTGGTACTGTGTAGGGGCTCACTGGTACTGTGTAGGGGCTCACTGGTACTGTGTAGGGGCTCACTGGTACTGTGTAGGGGCTCACTGGTACTGTGTAGGGGCTCACTGGTACTGTGTAGGGGCTCACTGGTACTGTGTAGGGGCTCAGGGCTCACTGGTACTGTGTAGGGGCTCACTGGTACTGTGTAGGGGCTCACTGGTACTGTGTAGGGGCTCACTGGTACTGTGTATGGGCTCAGGGCTCACTGGCGCTCTGTGAAGGGGCTCAGTGCTCACTGGCGCTCTGTGAAGGGGCTCAGTGCTCACTGGCGCTCTGTGAAGGGGCTCAGAGCTCACTGGCGCTCTGTGAAGGGGCTCAGAGCTCACTGGCGCTCTGTGAAGGGGCTCAGTGCTCACTGGCGCTCTGTGAAGGGGCTCAGTGCTCACTGGCGCTCTGTGAAGGGGCTCAGAGCTCACTGGCGCTCTGTGAAGGGGCTCAGTGCTCACTGGCGCTCTGTGAAGGGGCTCAGTGCTCACTGGCGCTCTGTGAAGGGGCTCAGGGCTCACTGGCGCTCTATAGACTAAGTTGTCCAAAGTTGACTCGGAGTTCCACCATAAGGATACTAATCAGCCGTAAGTCTGCTCAAACTTACATCTTGTTTTAAAGAAACATTTCCCCACTTTTAAGGTAAAGTTGGGGTTGTTGGCGAGACTTTGGAACCAGGATTCATCAAAGGTATTTAAGTGTCCTCCTACGAAACCTTTAGATCTTTCCTCTATCACGATTTATTAGTTTGAGTGTATTAAATGTTTTTGTAATCTGTGAAGGACTATAGGATGTTCTTCATATTATTAATTGACACGATCGACGGAAGATGTAAAGGTTTCGTCGGGGGATATGTATATGCTTGATTGATCAAGTCCGCTGGTGTTGCAAAGTTGGTTAAATAATTATCGTAGCGGAGACTGACTTGTTGAAACTTTACGGCTACGGAGAACATAGTCGACGGTTGAGCACCCGGAGCAGTGTGAACACGCCACCGCTGCCCAATTTGACGGCAATCTTTAATGTCATGTGACACACAATAGATCTCCAGTTAGATAGATAGATAGATCTATCCAAGGATTATATCGACTTTAGATATCATCGTAGTGGAGGCTGACTTCTTGAAACTTTACGGCTACGGAGAACGTAGTGGACAGTTGAACACCCGGCGCAGTGTGAACACGCCAAAGCTTCCCAACTTCAGTGTCATGTGACACACGATAGATCTCTAGATAGATAGATAGATAGATCTATCCAAGGATTATATCGACTTTAGATATCACCGTAGCGGAGGCTGACTTGTTGAAACTTTACGCTTACGGAGAACGTAGTGGACAGTTGAAGACCCGGAGCAGTGTGAACACGCCACCGCTGCCCAACTTGACGGCAATCTTTAATGTCATGTGACACACGATAGATCTCCAGATAGATAGATCTATCCAAGGATCATATCGACTTAGGTTTTATCGCGTTAATAAAATAACAAAAATAACAGGTTGCAAGGACAATAAATGGAAGCATTTATATGTAAATACTACGAAGCAATATTTGCATTTAGATGCAATTGCATATAGAAATACATCTATATACATTTACAAAGAAAAATGCATTTGTATGCAAATTCATCTAAAAAGTATTTTGCATGTATTTCTTCCTGGGAACAGTAGTCAAACGAAGCAGTTTAGGGCCAGTGATTCAAGGCAATTAAGTCTTGGGAGAAAGAAACTCTACGGTAAACGAACCACCAGTTTGAAACCCGTTCTCGCACTTGCTTATAGTCAATATCTTGCTTATGAATAAGTGCATATGTGACATACTAATTTATTGTGAATATTTGAGTTTACCTTGAAATGCTGAACAGAAAACCACGACCTAACCTAACCTTCTTAGTTTGTTAAGATATTACAATTAGTACTGAACCTATCTTGAGATGATTTCGGGGCTTTAGTGTCCCCGCGGCCCGGTCACCCCCAAAGTGGGTGATAATGCTAAGTCAACAAGGTCTTCGGGAGGCAAGACAAGGCTAAACCGTCGAGTCTTTCTGAAACAGTTCACTGGTCGCTGGAAAATGTTAAAGTGGAGAATATTATGATATTAAACGTTGCAGATTTATCGCTCAGTGCGGAAGCGATTGGGCTTTATGTTACCTCTTCCTTGCCTGGCACTGTGGTTGTTTAGCGTGTCTGTCAGGCACTGTGCCAGGCCCAGCACTGGCACCTTGTTAGTGACGTCAGTTAGACGTCAAACAGCCCCCTTGAACATGACGTCACCGTCAATTAGACGTCAAACAGCCCCCCCCCCCTTGACACATGACGTCACCGTCAATTAGACGTCAAACAGCCCCCCCCCCTGACGCATGACGTCACCGTCAATTAGACGTCAAACAGCGCCCCCCCATGACACATGACGTCACCGTCAATTAGACGTCAAACAGCCCCCCCCCTGACACATGACGTCACCGTCAACTAGACGTCAAACAGCCCCCACCGTCAATTAGACGTCAAACAGCCCCCCCCCCTGACACATGACGTTACCGTCAATTAGACGTCAAACAGCCCCCCCCATGACACATGACGTCACCGTCAATTAGACGTCAAACAGCCCCCCCCCTGACACATGACGTCACCGTCAACTAGACGTCAAACAGCCCCCCCCCTGACACATGACGTCACCGTCAATTAGACGTCAAACAGCGCCCCCCACCCCCCATGACACATGACGTCACCGTCAATTAGACGTCAAACAGCCCCCCCCCCCCTGACACATGACGTCACCGTCAACTAGACGTCAAACAGCCCCCCCCCCCCCATGACACATGACGTCACCGTCAATTAGACGTCAAACAGCCCCCCCCCCTGACACATGACGTCACCGTCAACTAGACGTCAAACAGCCCCCCCCCTGACACATGACGTCACCGTCAATTAGACGTCAAACAGCCCCCCCCTGACACATGACGTCACCGTCAATTAGACGTCAAACAGCCCCCCCCCCTGACACATGACGTTACCGTCAATTAGACGTCAAACAGCCCCCCCCCTGACACATGACGTCACCGTCAATTAGACGTCAAACAGCCCCCCCCCTGACACATGACGTCACCGTCAATTAGACGTCAAACAGCGCCCCCCACCCCCCATGACACATGACGTCACCGTCAATTAGACGTCAAACAGCCCCCCCCCCCCTGACACATGACGTCACCGTCAACTAGACGTCAAACAGCCCCCCCCCCATGACACATGACGTCACCGTCAATTAGACGTCAAACAGCCCCCCCCCTGACACATGACGTCACCGTCAACTAGACGTCAAACAGCCCCCCCCCTGACACATGACGTCACCGTCAATTAGACGTCAAACAGCCCCCCCCTGACACATGACGTCACCGTCAATTAGACGTCAAACAGCCCCCCCCCCTTGACACATGACGTCACCGTCAATTAGACGTCAAACAGCCCCCCCCCTGACGCATGACGTCACCGTCAATTAGACGTCAAACAGCCCCCCCTGACACATGACGTCACAGTCAACTAGACGTCAAACAGCCCCCCCCCTGACACATGACGTCACCGTCAATTAGACGTCAAACAGCCCCCCCTGACACATGACGTCACCGTCAATTAGACGTCAAACAGCCCCCCCCCCCCTTGACACATGACGTCACCGTCAATTAGACGTCAAACAGCCCCCCCCCTGACGCATGACGTCACCGTCAATTAGACGTCAAACAGCCCCCCCTGACACATGACGTCACTGTCAATTAGACGTCAAACAGCCCCCCCCCCCCTCCTCCCCCACACCTCCAACAAGCAAACGTCACCCAAACGTCCCCCCAATGACGTACGAAATAGCGAACGTCAGAAAAATTACGTCAATTTTTCCCTCTATTGAAACTTTCCCTTCACCAGCGGCTCAGAAGATAGATAATCTACTAGATAAAGATATCTATATGTGAAGAAGTAGAGTTATCAAGGGGAAAGCGCCAAGCCACCAAGACTATATACCCTTGGGAAGGGGGTCAGGATAAGGGAGGGGACGGTGGGAAAGGAATGGTGCCCAAGTATTTGTTGGGATGGTATAGGGGGATTGAACTCGGACCTGCATGATGCTAGACCGTCGTTCTACCGTCCAGCTCAAGTCTCTGCTCGTTCAAGGGTCACTACTCGTTCCTGGAGCGCCAGTAATTACAATTTAGTTAATTTCTCTATTTATCTTTCCTAAAGATTGGCTGTTTTTTGGTTTAATTTATAAAATTGTTAATGAGTTTATCAATTTTTTTTATTAATTTAAGG